ATAATTAACCAGTGGAACGATCTGCCTCCAGAAGCTGTGGTTGCTCCATCACTGGAAGTTTTCAAGAAAGGATTAGACAACCATTTTTCTGAAATGGTATAGGGTTTCCTGCCTGAGAAGGGGGTTGGACTAGAAGACCTCCAAGGTCCCTTCCAACTCTGTTTTCTTCTCTACTCTACTCTACTCTACTCTACTCTACTCTACTCTACTCTACTCTATTCTATTCTATTCTATTCTATTCCATTCCTTCTTTTCTCCAGACTGGCCATTCCCAAATCTTGCAACCATTCTTCATATGTTTTAGTCTCCAGGCCTATAATCCTCTTTGTTGCTCTTCTTCGCACTTTCTTTCCAAAGTCTCAACAACTTTTTCGTATTTGGATCTTCCCCCCATAGTTTCAAACAGGAGTTGGACAGGCCCCGTGTTGAGATAACCTTTGGGGAATGCAAACATTCAGCTCCTCACTGGCTGACTAGCTTTGGTTCTCCTATCTCATATTACACCAGATGTCAGGCAACTGCCTTCTCTCTCTCTCTAAGTCCCATCCCGCTCAAAAGAGAAACCCCATCAGACTCTTATTCAGAGCAGTTGCTGATTTGGCCCAGCTAGCCTTCGCATGCATCACTCCGGTTCTTAAATGAGCAGCAATGGTGCCATAGAAGCCCATGGTGTCCAAAGTCTCTGTTGTTAGGTGAGACATTTGTTAACTGAGTTCCACAACCTTTCTTGCCCCTTTTGTTAAGGGCATTGTAGCAATTGTTAAATCAGTAACACAGTTCTTTTGTGAATCTGTTTTTTTCCCATTGATTTTGCTTGTCAGAAGGTCTCAAATAATAGAATAGAATAGAGTAGAGTAGAGTAGAGTAGAGTAGAGTAGAGTAGAGTAGAGTAGAGTAGAGTAAAGTAGAGTAGAATGCAGAATAGAATAGAATGCAGAATAGAATAGAGTAGAATAGAATAGAATAGAATAGAATGCAGAATAGAATAGAATGCAGAATGGAATAGAATAGAATGCAGAATAGAATAGAATGCAGAATAGAGTAGAGTAGAATAGAATAGAATAGAATAGAATAGAATAGAATAGAATAGAGTGGACTAGACTAGACTAGACTAGACTGGATTGGACTAGACTAGACTAGACTAGACTAGACTAGACTAGACTAGAATAGAATAGAATAGAATAGAATAGAATAGAATAGAATAGAATAGAATAGAATAGAAATAGAGTAGAGTAGAGTAAAGTAGAGTAGAATGCAGAATAGAATAGAGTAGAGTAGAATAGAATGCAGAATAGAATAGAATGCAGAATAGAATAGAATGCAGAATAGAATAGAATGCAGAATAGAATAGAACAGAATGGAATAGAGTGGCCTAGACTAGACTAGACTAGACTAGAATAGAATAGAATAGGAGCTGGAAGGGACCTTGGAGGACTAGAAGACCTCTGAGGTCCCTTTCAGCTTCTATTCTGATTGATTGATTGATTGATTCCTTCTGGGGAAAAATTGTTTGGTAAATGATCATTTTTTGATACTCATTGCGCATCCTGGAACCAGAACGATGAGTACCGCGGTACCAGTTATCTCGTATGACAGAGGTCCCCGACCTTTTGGGCACCAGGGACCGGTTCCGTGGAGAAAGGTTTTTCCGTGAACCGGAGAGTGCGTGGTTTTGTGTGCTGCCTGCATCCCACAGATGAGGCTTTGCTTGTTTGTGCGGACCAGTTGCTGGCATTCCACAAATGGGGGGGGGGTTGGGGGGTTGGGGACCTCTGTTATAGGACACCGTCCAAAGAAATGGCTGTGTTAGTTAGACAGCCCTAACTCAGGAAAGACAACCTACTCCGTGCTCCCAGCATTGCCTGTTGTCTAATTTTTGTGTGTCTGTGCGTGATTTTAATAGTTGCATAAAATTATACACGTTCTCCTATCCCTAGGAATCTTAAACAACAACAGCAACAATTAACTTTGTGGACTGGAAGCTGGACAAGAATTGCAAAACTCCTGACTTCCTTCCTCTCTTGGGGAAACACACGGCCAGATTTGCTAGCCTTGATTCGCTATCCCCGTTTCCATTCACTCCTCACCCCCCACTCCGCTTTGTTTCGAAAACTTTCCCAGTGTTATTTTATTGCTTGGATTCTAAAGTTTCAGCTGTTCTAGGAATCTTCTCCTCCAAGAAACCCGATGCACCCAAAAAAAAGAAGGCTGTTTTTATTTGGAGAGAAAGGGGGGGGGGGTTAGATCTCACATCTGGTTCCCATTAGCAGCTTATGAGTGCCGAAGTAGGAATGGTGCAGTTGAGCGTTTAAAAATGTATTTCAGGGGAGAGGGAAAAAAAAAAACCTTCTCAGTGGGCTGTACAAGGAATGCTAACCGGCCTACAATTCTTATTCTGTTGTGTTTTTTTTTTCCACCCCCTGTACCTAAAGATATTCCTCAACTGAACAATTGTTGGTTTAGCAACCTGCTCGAAGTTACAAGTGGCTTAAGGGCATTTTTCAGTCTTACAACCGTCGCAAGCTTCCCTATAGCCACGTGATCCAAATTCAGAGGCTTGGAAACTGGCATGTACTTAGGACGGTTGCAGCGTCCCGGGCTCACGTCATCCCCTTTTTATGAGCTTCGGACCAGCCAAATCAATGGGGAAGCCAGATTCATTTAACGACCGTATTAGTAGCTTAACGACTTAAGAACTGGGGCAAGAAAAGTCATCAGAGGGGGCAAAATTCCCTGAATTGCTGGCTTAAGGAAAGCCCTGTGATCATTTTGTCCTGTGATAATTTAGCAAAAAAAAATAAAAGTGATTATTTCTTTTATGATCGTAAACCAGGCCTAGTCTTGGCAACTGGTTTCCCCCAGCTTTGGGTCGGCATTCATCTATTACGTCATAGGATGGGGGAATCTGGCAATTTCCCAGGAGATGCCAGGTGTGTTTTGAGCACCGTGAGAACCAAATTTTCGGTCCCCTCCCCCTCAAGACCCCTGCCAAATAAATTCATTTTCTTTCTTTCTTTCTTTCTTTCTTTCTTTCTTTCTTTCTTTCTTTCTTTCTTTCTTTCTTTCTTTCTTTCTTTCTTTCTTTCTTCTTTCTTTCTTTTCTTTCTTCTTTCTTTCTTTCTTTCTTTCTTTCTTTCTTTCTTTCTCTCTCTCTCTCTCACTCTCCTTCCTTCCTTCCTTCCTTCCTTCTTTCCTTCTTTCCTTCCTCCCTCCCTTTCTTTCTTTCTTTTTCTTTTTCTCTTTCTTTCTCTCTCTCTCACTTTCCTTCCTTCCTTCTTTCCTCCCTCCCTCCCTTTTTCTTTCTTTCTTTCTTTCTTTCTCTTTCTTTTTTTCTCTTTCTCTTTCTTTTTCTGTCTCTCTCCCTTTCCCTCTTCTTCCTCCCTCCCTCCCTCTTTCTTCTTTCTTCTTTCTCTTTCTTTCTTTGTTTTTCTTTCTTTTTCTTTCTTTCTTTCTTTCTTTCTTCTTTCTTTCTTTCTTTCTTTCTCTCTCTCTCTTTCTCTCTCTCTCCTTCCTTCTTTCTTTCCTTCCTCCCTCCCTCCCTTTTTCCTTCCTTCCTTCCTTCCTTCCTTCCTTCCTTCCTTCCTTCCTTCCTTCCTTCCTTTCTTTCTTTCTTTCTTTCTTTCTCTTTCTGTCTCTCTCCCTCTCCCTCTTCTTCCTCCCTCCCTATTTCTTCTTTCTTTCTTTCTTTCTTTCTTTCTTTCTTTCTTTCTTTCTTTCTTTCTTTCTTTCTTTCTTTCCTCCCTCCCTCCCTCCCTCCCTCCCTTCCTTCCTTTCTTCCCCCTCTCCCTTTCTTTCTATCCAGGTGATAAAAGAGGATCAGAAAGCTAGAAGGCGAAAACTGAGGAAGCAGACTTTGGCAGAAGCTCAAGAAAAGGAAAAAAAAACAAAACTGGCCAGAACATTTGCTTTTCAGCTGGTTGATCTGTGTCAACCTCACGCTAATATCTTGACTTGAATCTACCTGGGTTGAGAAGAAGTTGAGCAGCGGGAGGCACTAAGCAAAAGCCCCTGTGGTAAAGAACTTAACCTTTGTCATGCAAGGTTTTTTTTTTTTTTTTTTTTGTTTTCAAAGGACCTTATCCAAATTCGAGATGAAAAAACCAAACTGGGGCTGTGTGATCCTCCCTCCTTCCCTCTTTTCTCTCCCACACGCATAATAAATATTAAATAGGTCCCATAGCCAAGGAATAAGCACAGTCGAAAGCCCTCATTAACGGGAGGTGAACTTGTAATGATGTGCATAAGGGCTTTTTCCAGGCTATGAACTGGTTCCTATCCATGCCTGTTTGTTATTCTGGAGGAAACAATCCAACACTTATCAAAACACCGAGAAGGCCGACATCTGCTCACATTTCCTGAAAGTCCACAGTTTTTTTTTAGTGGAACCAAGGGTGGCATTGCCTGTTAAAAATCCTGTCTGAAGTTGGTACACAGAGGTGCCTATTCCTCAATGCTTAGTAGAATCCACTTTGTGCACCCATCACTCTTTTGCATCTGGTCTGCACTGACTGACTTTGCACTAGGAGAAAAAAAAGCTGACCAGCCTAACTGCTAATTCAACAGAGCCCCAAAATTAGTGCAATCTTAGCTAACTGACAGCAAGCTCAGGTTATTTTATACCAGGGGGTTTTCAAACTTGGCCCTTTTATGACTTGTGGACTTCAACTCCCAGAATTCCTCAGCCAGCGTGCCATGGTCACGTGATCCAAATTCAAGCACTTGGCAACGGACTCACATTTATGACGGTTGCAGGGTCCCCCCCCTCTCCCTGGGGTCATGTGATTCCCCCTTTGGCGACCTTCTGACAAGTCAAGTCAAGGGGGGGGAAGCCGGATTTCACTCAACGACACTTTGACTAATTTAACAACCTAAGTGATTCACTAAACGACAAGCCGTCAAATGGGGGCAAAATTAATGAATGTTTCTCTTTCCCACAGAATTTTGGAGCTCCATTTGCAGCCCTATCTGGGGGAGCAAATGGGGGGGGGGGGCAAACTCACTTAGCAACTGTCTCGCATAGCGACTGAAAATTCTGGGGTTCCACTGTGGTCGTTAAGACGGAGACTACGTGTACGCCCCCCTCCTTTGCAGGAAGTAGGCCTCCAAGATTGCAGGGTCCTTACCTGTGGGCAGTCTTTGATGTAGTGTCCCTTGTTAAAGCAAAGATGGCAGAGATAGTTTGGTGGGGGTCTCTTGCTCGGCTTGCGGGCATCCGAGGAGAGGGAAATGTCCGAAAAATGTTCCGTCAGGGAATTTAAGCCATCCACGATGTTATTAAGAGAGCCGTAAGGAGAGCCGCTCTTATAGAGACTGCTGTTCAAGGCCTGGGAAAGAAAAACAGAAAAATCTGATGACTCTCTTTTCNAGATAGATAGATAGATAGATAGATAGATAGATAGATAGATAGATAGATAGATAGATAGATAGATAGATAGATAGATAGATAGATAGATGGACGGACGGACGGACGGACGGACAGAGACAGACAGAGATAGAAGATGGACGGATGGATGGATGGATAGATGATAGATAGATAGATAGATAGATAGATAAACAGACATAAATATAGATATATAGATATAGATATATAGATATAGATATGGATATATAGATATATAGATATAGATTAGATATAGATATATAGATAGATGACCTATAGATATAGAGATTTAGATATAGATATATAGATATAGATATAGATATAGATATAGATATAGATATATAGATATGGAGATATAGATATACATTAGATATAGATAGATATAGATAGATGACATAGATATATATAGATATATTTTTTTACGCGGGAGAAAACCCGAATATCCAAAGACCTACATACAAACACCCGCGAAAACCTCAGAAAACAAATAGATATATAAATATATATAGATATAGATATAATATAGAGAGAGATAGAGATAGATAGATAGATAGATAGATAGATAGATAGATAGATAGATAGATAGATAGATAGATAGATAGATAGATAGATAGATATTTGCCAAGTCATCTAGAAGATTAATGTAGAGACTTCTTCTTTCAGGGTCTAAAATTCCTCGGTCTAATAAAACCAGCATTTACAGCAAATACGAAACTGCATTGCCCGCACATTCAGAAAGATGGTCATTAACCTTCACGATTCAACTTAATGTGAAAAGGGGAAGAGGTTCAGAATGAATGAATCATAGCGTTTCCTGACAGTGAAAACAAATAATCAGTGGGATAGCCTGCCTCCGGGAGTTGTAGGTGCTTCATCGCTGAAGTTTTTAAGAAAAGATTGGCTAGTCATTTATCCGGAACGGGTATGGGGGGAGCAGGGGGTTGGACTAGAGGACCTCCAAGGCCCCTTCCAGCCTTCGTTCCATGATAATCAAGGCATAGACAGAAGGGTAACAGACTGATGAGTAGAGAGATAACCATTGATCATTAGATGACGACCAGGTTGGCAAAGAGAGTGCAGTGTAAATAAACGTCTTCAAATTCCACTGGTATAAATTTATTTATTTGATTCCCGTGGGAAATCAAATGAATAAACCAAAGTTGGGGCCCGGTTCCTAACAAATCTTCCGTGGGTTTTCAGCAACCCAGCTGAGTTCAAGGCTCTCTTGCCCACTTCTTCCTTGCAAACAAAGCTTTGTTTTAACGATATAAATAACTGCACCAGAAACAACTGCTGCCAGTTCTATTACACTAGAAGTTCATGTTTCATTGCCATGATAGGTGTGTTACAATCCTCCCTTAGTCTGGGGGGGGGCACTGGGGGGGGATTGCTGTTAATTTTGAGCTTGCAACAGCCAACGTAAATTGCACCCACATTCGGTTTCATACCTCTCCCTGTGGTCTACTTAGAAAGACCATTAAGATCAATGGAGGCACCATTTAAGGAAGGCTAAAACATATAAGGTGGCTGGAATTAGGTATATCTGAAGAGAAGGACGAGGGGGGACATGATAGCAGGGTTCCAGTATCTCAGGGGCTGCCCCAAAGAAGAGGGAGTCAAGCTATTCTCCAAAGCATCAGAAGGCAGGACAAGAAGCAACGGATGGAAACTAACCAAGGAGAGAAGCAACCTAGAACTAAAAAAGAGATTTCCTGACAGTGAGAACAATTAACCAGTGGAACAACCTGCCTCCAGAAGCTGTGAATGCTCCAACACTGGAAGTTTTAAAGAAAAGATTGGACAGCCATTTGTCTGGAAGAATATAGGGTTTCCTCCCTGAGCAGGGGGTTGGACTAGATGACCTCCAAGGTCCCTTCCAACTTTATTATTATTATTATTACTATTACTATTACTATTACTATTACTATTACTATTACTATTACTATTACTATTACTATTACTATTACTATTATTATTATTATTATTATTATTATTATTATTATTATTATTATTATTATTATTTCTTTGTCTGAAATAAGCAATATTCCTCTTCCGATATAGTGGACTTTGGGCTGAGGATTATGGGCACTGAAGTTTGCCACCCATCTGGAAGTCCCCAGGAAGAAGAATGAATTAAGGCATTCAGGAAATGGAAAAAGCAGTGCGATTCGGACACAAAGAGCTATTATTTGATGCTCCGGCTTTCAACAATCCTTGCGTAGTTACAGACGAAAACCATTTAAAAAAAAAATAATCATAGACACACACACACACATACACCTCACACACAAGCCAGGACATTCTTGGCACCCAAAGAGCTATTGAAAAAAATATATATATGACATTTTAAAACGTCAGTAAAGGTCAAACACGTAAAATAAGTAGTAATTGCTTATTTGTGGCGGGTTACAACGGCCTTAAACACTCTGTTCTGAATTTTACAAAAAGAAACCATACAGAGGAGTTAGATCCACATCTGTTTTTATTTTGTTGCTGTGGTCACTTAACTATGCCTTGTTAATTGTTCCCTGGCTAGGTTTTTTCTTCTTTGAGATGCCTGCTTGTTTTAGTATAAGTTCAAAGTCAGAAAAAAAAGGGGCTTGTCTTTCTAGGATATTTCTTTGTGTTTGCAAAGCTCTATCTGCTTTCAAAATCTGGCTGAACTGAGAAATTAAAATCCCGAGAATTAAAAGAAGGGCAATATATAGAAGACGGCCCAATGGTGGCAATTCTTCTCTCTGTCAAGGACATCCAAGGGTAGATAAATAATTTTCCTAAGAGGCCATATGAGAAACTGGGAGTGTTGTAGGGGATTGAAAGAATAGAATAGAATAGAATAGAATAGAATAGAATAGAATAGAATAGAATAGAATAGAATATAGAATGGAGTGGAGTGGAGTGGAGTAGAGTAGAGTAGAGTAGAGTAGAATACAGAGTTAGAAGGGACCTTGGAGGTCTTCTAGTCCAACCTCCTGCTCAGGCAAGAAACCCTATACCATTTCAGACAGTGTTGGAGCATTCACAACTTCTGGAGGCAGGTTGTTCCACTGGTTAATTGTCCTCACTGTCAGGAAATTTCTCCTTAGTTCTAGGTTGCTTCTCTCCTTGATGAGTTTCCATCCGTTGCTTCTTGTCTTGCCTTCAGATGCTTTGGAGGATAGCTTGACTCCCTCTTCTTTGTGGCAACCCCTGAGATATTGGAACCCTGCTATCATGTCATCCCTAGTCCTTTTTTTTTCATTAAACTAGACATATCTAATCCCAGCAACCCTTTTTTTATAGAACCAAGGCATTATTTGTGTACTGATGTTTTGTATTTATATCCATCAAATTCATGTTTATATTTTATTATATTTGAAAATAATAAAAAATTTAATAAAAAAAAGAGAGAAAAAGAAAGACAGAGAGAAAAAGTGAGAAAGTGAGAAAGAGAAAGAGTGTGTGTGTGTGTGTGTGTGTGAGTGAGAGAGAGAGAGAGAGAGAGAGAGAGAGAGAGAGAGAGAGAGAGAGAGAGATTCTCCACTCCCTGCCTTTGACAGCCATTTTTGTGGCTGGGCTGCCTGCCACAAAGGGCCAGACCTCTGGTGTCTCCCCGCCCCACTTTGCTTTATTTCCTTTGTTTTCTGGATTTATTTTTTTTTTACAGATTCAGCAGTTGAACAACAAAGTGTTGGTTGTTTCTAGCTTTCTCTTGTTTCTTCCAGACTAAGGGAAATAAAAGGGAAAGCAGTGAATGAAATAGATAGTCAAGATGGCTAACACAACAAGAGTTCTGGGTTATCAGCCTGGACAGGTTGAGATGGCAGACATCCCCAGGAGACAAAGACAGCCTCGTTGGGCTCTTTAAACAGGACTCTTGATTGATTTCACAGACCGTTTGATCTGCTCCTTCCTTCTCTTCAGTCTTGTTTTTTCTCCTTCCTGGCTGGCGGAAGGACACGAGTTTCATCTTGAGTGGTAGGGAATAAAATGGAGAACTTTCAAAGTTCCCTGCCTTTGGTTTGGGTAAACTATACACAGTTAAAACTTTTGCAAGAAAAGGAAGCAACCTCGGTCTGAACTTCCTCCAGAACTCAACCAATTTAGGGTTTATTTTGGGACTGCAATTCTAAGAAGCTCAGTTAATTAAGTTCCATCCAGTAGGACTCAAGAACCGGAGGTCAGATCGAAAAACGTAATCTGCTCCCTCTGACTTCATGAATACCACCATTTCATTCCCTTCCGTGGGTTTTTCAAGGCAAGTTCATTGCGAGGTTGAGCAGAGTGCAGAAAGGAAGTGCTCCCATCCAAATATTCAGCATACAGGTAGTCCTCAACTTACGACCACAAAAATTTCCATTGCTAAGTGACAACAGTTAATTAATGGAACAGCTTGTGGGTGCTCCATCGCTGGAGATTTTCAGGAAAAGACTGGACAGCCACTTTGTCTGAAATGGTGTAAGTTCTCCTACTTGAGCAAGGGGCTGGATTAGAAGACCTCCAAGGTCCCTTCCAGCAATGTGATTCTGTGATTCTGTGCCATTCTCCCTACATGTCTACCACTCTGGTTTCATAAAAAAAGAGAGAAAAGAATCAGTTACGTAAGTGATGATTATGTAAACTGAGAGCAAAAGGAAGCACTTCTCGGTTTACGTGTTGCTTCTTTAAAAATGACCACCGCATCTGGCAAGGAAGAGAGAGAATAATTCTGAGAATCACAGTAGGCATGAAGGAGCAATTTAACTCCTCCTTTTTCTCCAAAAAGCACCCAGAGAACATCCCTAGGATCTTTGCAGTCACCTGAGACCAAAAGCTCATCTCTTATTGCTCTCTGCAAACTCAGTTTCACCATAGGCCAGGGGTAGGCAACCTTGGCTCTTCTATGACTCGTGGACTTCAACTCCCAGAATTCCTGAGCCAGCATGGCTCAGCTTGGAAACCTCTCCCTTTCCCCTCAGCATGGCT